CAGTTGGCAAGAGCCACCTCCTCTGGAAGTCAGATGCAGCTCTTACCATAAAGAAACCTTTCTGTATGCAGAAGTTAAACCTCCTTTCTTCCAAGCACAAATAGTGTGTTTAATGCCTACATACATACTGAAAGGTGTGCCTCTTTCTCATCTCAGAAAGTAGGCTGAGGTCCTCCATGACCCTTAATTATATTAACCTGTGCTGTAAAGTGCCCACTCTGCACACTCTGTACTCGACACATCTTTGCCCCCTGAGTTCACCAGTGAAATAAATGAACAATCAGATGGTGGGGATCTGACAGCTGAGCTTGAATTGGCTGAATGCAGCAGTGGAGAGGATGGCATAGGCCATTCATTGCCACACATCATCCCTTTGCAGAGGCAATTAACACACTGGACAGTAGACACAATAAATTGTGCCCAACATTAATATTGAGGGTTTGGTGAATTTATTCATTACGGCTAACATGGTGCCAAACGAGAAGACATTGATTTATCTTGTACAAGATAGGAGCTGCGAGTTTACACTGTCCTTATTTTAATGAATGGGTTGTTTTCAGCTAGCAATTTTCACTGTTTATTAAGTAAGGCTGTCGGGTGCAGAGCGGCACCAGACACATGCAACAAAATAAAACTGTCATTTTGCCTGCCATTTTCTAAGTACGGTACTAACTTCGATGTGCGGATATAACAAGCTGGTTTAGACTAACTGCAAAATATCAAATTAGTCCATTACCTGTGTAAAAATAAACACATATCTTTGCCAAAGAAAATTGATTTTAGTGGATAATTCTTATGCCATCTCTGACTTGGCGAGATAAAAGGATGAGAAGTTTTCACTAGAGAATAAGCCTAGTCATAGATGGGGAAATCGCTACCACAGAAAGGAGACATCTGTCTGTCATCTGTAGGACCAGAATAGCTGCTGGTCCTTGGTGTAACACATTTAAAGCTGAACTCCAGGCAAAAAAAAAGCTTTTTGTAAAATATACTCCTCAATAGCCACAAGGTATATTGCGCCAAGTGTCTTTGTAAACCCAAATATTACCTTGTGTAATGTGCTGCACATGTGCAGAGAGTAGAACCCAGCAGGCCCCACACATTACAGGCTGCCTGCAGAAAAATACAGGAGGGGGCAAAGACAAGACCAGTCACCCTGCACAAAGAGGGAGAGCAGTAGTGACTGGTCTGTATTACAGTAAGCTCATGCGCAAAATCAAAGTATAATGCTTGACTACTGTGCAGATCTGGAAGAAATACACAAAGCACACCAAGATTCAAGTATGAATACACATGCCTCTTGTTTTAAGATCATATTTACTCATCTCGGAGTTCAGCTTTAACATCCTTCTTCAGCTTTCTCACTGAAAAGGCAGAAGGATTTGCCAGGTCAGGTCACATGGTGAATTTCCAGTAAGCACTGGAGTGTTGATGTTGGATTGTGGCAGGATCAGGGACACATTTCCATGCACTAATGCATGTCATGAGAGGGCAGTCTATTCACCTTCAGTCCTTGTTCACGCAAAAGCACCGCAATGTACATATACCACAAATTTACTTGCATAAATGTAAATCCAGCCTCAGGCAGGCCACAACACACGGAAGTGACTGCCCTGTGTGGTGTGCTACATTATTTCATAGATTAAGGCTTGTTAAGGGCCCATTCTAAGTCAATAAGCAGCATGAACGCACATGGTAACATGCATGAAGGGGTATAGGAATTTAATTATTGTAGGAGGCTGAACAATATACAAAACCTACTCTTAACAGTCAATATATCTGATATCTCATATAGGACAATTAGCTGTCTGTGATAAGATAAGAAAGGAGAGTTTATCCTCTGCTCTCATACTGACAGTCATGTCAATAAAGTCATGGAAGAAGTTCACTTACTTGCATTGGGTCAGTATTCTTCTCTTAGAAGTCAGGTTTTGACAGTAATGCAGAAAGGGGGCAGCTTTAACTGGTGAAACGGCAAAGATATTGTCTTTGCTAGACTATTGCAACCAATGCACATGAAGGCAATAAATGTATGCCACCATACCAATATACATTATAAGGGTGAATGAAAAGCTCTGGGTCCTGGGAATACTACATTACAGAACTGAATTTGTTGTTGAAGTCACTTTGTCACAAAATCCTGGAACTGTCTGAGCAATCACAAGGCAGGTGGTTCCATCATTAGCTCGCTCCAACATCTGTTGTGAGAATTGATAGGTTGCTGGTGGTGATACGACACCCTTGTGTATAACACCTAGATCCCGGTCATTAGTCTATGAAGCGCCTATAATGCCAGTGAAGACTCTATGGCAAAACGCCAAGTCAGGTAATGGGACGGTTGTGTGACATTTTGTTGAAACAAAGAAACTGCCAAATCAGAACAACAAAATAAAATGAAAAAAATCTGAACCAGCTCATTTTCCAAACAGAAGGGAACTGGCTGCTTTTTAACGAGTGGCAAGTTCATTAACAGGGCCAATGTTGCATTAATAATGTCACTGCAGCAGCTTTTCCCTTTGCTGATACACTGCTCCATTAACCCCTTCCACTCACAATGCATAAGGCACTTCTGCCCCATTAACTTTTTCATACTTAAAGGACCCAAAGGAAATTATCTTGCACATATCTAAACAAAAATACATATTTATTTTTGACATTGTTGATTAAGCCCATCAGCTTGGTGTGTCGCTCAGCAAAAAAAAGTCATGTTTTAGGATAAAGTACTTGTTGCAATGGACAGTTTACTTGCTCCATTTGTAGACTAAAGGCTTGTGTAGACAGAAAACTCCCCACCCCATCTCTCTGCCGATATGTTTTTGTAATAGGAAAAAATGGGAAAAGGAAGAACATAGAGAAAGGTTTGCACAGAGATAATTGTGTGTTTGTTTTACCCACAGTCACTGGGCAGAAACAGATCAGAGAGAACATAGAAAGTACAGCATTGCCAGCTTTCTCCATCCCTCCTATGATGTCCATGACAAATGACCTCCGTTCTTGTATAAAGGAAAAAACTGATGTTCTCTATGCAGGTTCTATTTAAATACTAAATCTACCCAAAATAATCTCCACTATAAGTTGGCTCTGCAGTAGTCTGTGTATTCAAGCAGCCTGAAAATGCCAGTTATAGACTTATGCAGCTGAAGTTTTAATTTATTTCACATTAAGGAAGTTTAGACAGAGAAATGTGACAAAATACACTGGCTTAGTAACTGCTGAGGTCATGGGGCAAAGTCAAGAACCATGCTGGGGAGATGTTTCCACAGGATACTCCAAGACATATAGGAAGACACCATGTGATTCAATATTTTAGTAATTAAGTGATATTAAACATCGGTATCAGAAAGAGTTAGTATTCAAGTGGACTTTAACTTTAAAAGTGAAAGGGACATCTAGAAATGTTAATTGTGCCTAAGCAGTACCCTGAAAATTAACTTTTTTCCTTTAATTCCTCATGAAAACATTAAGTGCACTTCCTTTGCTTAGGCACTCCTGTACCTACAGCCCCATAGCTGTGTATCAGAGTGAGATATATGGCATGCTACCACTGAATGCTGGTCTCGATTCTAGAGATTTGATGATGCCACTACTGAGCTGCTTGCTGATGAGAAACCTGTACCTGAGAACCTGCAGTGCAAGCATCTCCTGCTCCTGTGTCATTCCTTCTCTGGATCTGAGCTTTCTGAACATTCCCTGTTTCTGTGGATGACAGTCATCAGATTATCAGTCATGAGGAGGCAGCTCTGATATAAAGAAGCAAAGCTCTGCTCTTCTACCAAGATGGCACCTTCACACAGAGACACAGTACAGAACAAGGCATGGTGTATCAGCAATGGGGTAAAAGTGGGTAGGGAACCCACAGGCAAAACTGGTGACTAGCCCTTTGCCTTCTGCCTGCCTATTTTAGGCACAGCATTTAGAGTTTAGATCCTCTCTTAATATCCTTCTTCCCTTTTTCTCTTATTTTTCCAAGGAGAAAAAAAGATGTAAAGATGGAATTATTTCATTGAGGGGTCTGGAGTAGATAGTCACCTTAATCCAATCACCTTTGTGCCATGTAAGATGTCAAGGCAGATGTTGATTGTCCAAGAACAAAATAGGAGGTATAAATGTTTGTAAGAGTAGGTACTTAAAGGCATTAGAACCAAGGAAACTATTTGGATGAGTGGTAAAACTTCTTCAACATTGCATATGTCCAATACAAGACATGGATAAATGAGAACGTTCACAAATACTTTGAAATGTTATCATCCAATGTATGCTATGCAACCCTATAGAACAGTATGGTTGGGTGGACCACAAGATAATCTGGATCACTTTATTAATCTCATATAGAGTTCTTATACATGTGCTAGTTCCTATACATGTGTTGCACCTGTGTACTTTGGTATTCAATTTGTTTTATTGCTCCCCATATACCACAATACGGCAGTGTGATATTATTCCCACTTCCAGTTCCTAGTAGGCAGATCAGTAAGATATGATTCAGTGCTAATATTACTGCATTGATACAAATCTAGCTCCTATGACAAAGCCCTGTTTCATCTGTCCTCATGCCCCAGGCAACAAAACTACTTTGCAAGGCCTACGAGGCAGGGATGTGCACCTGAAAGAATTCTGAGAAAGCAACACTTTTATAATCATCACATCTGAAGAATATTGCATTCCATTACATTAACTTCCTGATTCTATCTAAAAATACCATCAAGGGATTGCTAGTCTAATGAACTTCCTTCAGATAATCAACCACAAGGCAATTTTCCTACCGTGAAGCCCCTTGCAGAGCAAACAGATCAAACAGCTTTCCATTGACAGGCCCGTTTGATTCGGTCCTGTAAATCCTTGCCTTGTTGCATCCTGGGAATAGCAAGGCTGTCCCACAAAACATTTCCTAATGAAACTCTGCGCTGAAACACACAGCTCCTCTCACGACCGAGGTGTTAATCACTGCTATCTAACAGACTTACGGAGGCTATTGCTTCATTAACCCCTGCTCTGTGTACCTTAATGGCTCCCGTGGTGATCTGAATGTGGTGCAGCTGCCTCAGAGCGCTCTCTCGGTCCATGAAATATGAAGCTGCCAGCTGGTGTAGAGTGTCCAGCGTGGGGGACGAATTGTTCCCGCGCACTCCCGCGTCTCGCTTGAGTCTTCCCTTATCCACAAACATGGTGAGGGACTCTTCACCTAAAAACAAAAGTACATATGAATTAGAGACAATAACCTTATAACAAAGTACTTTCATGATACATACTGTCTTACAGCAGTGAACTTACATTTTTCTAGGCTGAACTGAAAAAATATCAACAGAAATCTGTTTGGTGGCTATTGGGAACTTCTCTATGTTTTAACATTCTTAATGGCCAGATCAATTTTTACTTTTCACTGCTACATCAGTTTAAATAATTAATAATGCGTGACAAGTGCTGGATGTGATTGAGGATTTGTTCTAGTCACAAATCAAGGCTCTAGGGTTCTGGGCTGCTTAACACCTGGAGGTACCTGGTAAGGTGCTGGTTCCTCAGGCTGGAAGCTTTGTAGAGGGAGCCTGGAGGGAAAGAGTCATGCACATTTCCCCCAAAAAGTGTTGACTGCATACTTTTTACCAATCAACAATAAGGTCTGGAGCAAAAATGTTCACATGTCTAAATCAAACAATCACTTTTTGTATATACTGTAAGATATCCATTTGAATTTCCGACATTTTTTGTGATAAATTAGGCTTTTGAACTGGAGTATAATTTTACGGTTTGGGGGCTTTTAAGCCACGATAAGAAAACATTTCAAAATACAATATTTTTTAAACTATCTACCAAATGAGTTTTAAAAACTGGCACTATTAAAATAAAATGATCTAATATTTATGCAGCAATTTATGCTCCTTACAAAAATGAAAATATATATAACACATATAATAATACATTTATACCATCCTTAATACACTTTATATTAATCTAATTGACAGTAATAAAAGTTTATAAAATGTTTGTGTGCACATAAATAGGTAAATGTACTTAACATCCATAATTTAAAAGGGTCCGTCTCCGCAAAAGTAATATTATTATAAGAGATGGGCCTGGTTTTCTGAAGAAGCCCCTCTCTGTTGGTGGTCCAATAGCGAGATCTCTGTTGCTGTCAACCTTTGTGTGTTCCAACACCTACTGTTGCATTCTCCATGATAGAAAAAAAAAATGCAGGAAGAGAACCCTCTCATAATGGCCACAGTAAGTGTGCAGACATATCACTCTATCACATATATACAAAACTGTCAGGTCTTTTAGCACACAATGATTTTGCGTGAACTGATGCTTTAAATATTGTCTGCATTGTAAATGATCTTTTATTTTTTTTAGATCTGTACCGTAGCTGTTAACAAAGTAGGTGAAGAAGCACGTGAGAGACATTTGTTAAAGGATAACTCCACCAAGCATGAAATGAAAGTGCTGAGGGAGGAATACACTCATCTCTATGGCATCTGTCTCTAGACCAAGAGCTGTAAAAACTTGACACCTGTTGCCAATAAATCCTAGTTCCTTTTAATTTTTTTTACTGGATTAGCCATCTTCTTTAAAAGTCTATTAGAGATGACTAGCCCCAACCCAAACAATGTGCCAATATCTAGGATTATGGCAATAGGTAGATTTGGTTACATTTTCACAGCTTAATAAGTCCAAAATTGGTTCCCTTGTATCTTTTCAAACATCCACATAGAGGCACCTCATGAAACACACAAACCTTTCCCACTCTCCTGTTTCTACTAGAGGTATTATGGTAAATAAAAATTAGAGATAATGTTACTACATGCAGAGATGTTTCCAATGTCAGACTGGG